TACGTCCTACATGCTTGGATTATAGGCAACCTGCCTTGCTGGCCCTTCATTTAAGTAGGTTCTAGGAATCTGAACACAGGGCAGTCAATCATTGAAATGCCTCTCTGGCCCCTAACAGTTTGTATCTTATTGTAGTGTGTGTATTGGTATTGCTATTCATTTACATTTGCTGTCTTATTTCCTATTTGTCCATTTAATTCTTTATTTATTCTCTTTTTTGTTTGTTTGTTTGTTTCTTTGTGTTCTTTTAAACAACTCCTCTGGGAATGCTGAATGATGTCTTAATATCAAGCCTGCCATTAGATCCTAAATATGTCTCTTATTATTTTATGGAACAGTAAGGGTTTCTTTATACTTTGGTTAAATGTTTTATTCTTGGTAGTTTCTCTTTTAGAATTAGTAGTATACATTGAGCTGTGCTATTTTCTTTTGATTACCAGCTTTTTCTGAGTCCAATATATTATTCTTTTGTTTATTTTAGATGACTTATATATATTTTTATTCTAAGTGATATTGCTATAAGGTTAGATTCACATAATGAGCTTAATATTCACATATATTCACATTATCAAATCAGTAGTAAAAGTTCAAGGAAGTGAGTACAAAAGATTCTTAACCTGTTATAAAAACTGTCAGTAATAGAGAAGTCTTCAATTTTAAACTCTTTGTTTTTATAATGATTCTGAGACTTTTTAAAAAAATTTTTTTTTACACTGTTCGGAGAGTACTTCCTACCGATGTCTTAGGAATATGTTCAGAAGTATCATTATCATTTAATCAATTAATTTTAGTAGCTTCAAATTACACAGTTGTATTAAGTCAAATTTGAATGAATTTTATCACTCAAGTTTGACTGGCTTTTAGTTACATGATAGCAGTTCACCTTGATGGACTTGTTTCTAAAACAGTTTTGGACTTCTGTTTTATGTTATGATTCTTCCTTTGGGGGTTATACTTAATAGGCTAAGTTTAGCACAGTTCTTTCAAATATTTGTGTTTTGTCTTCTGTTTTCTAGTACTAAAATATTTTCTATTGATATCTTGAAATCGAAATACTTGAATCTAATACGAAATTTCTAAGCAGTTTCTTTTCATCTTAATTTCATCGCTAATATCCAAAATAACTTTTAACATCTTTTTTATAGTCATTAGGATAGCACTTGTACCTTGGTTAATTGTTTTCTTTAAAATAGATTCATATGATATTGTACATGCATGAGTGTTTGACTGCATTGATGTCTGTATATCACATATGTGACTAGTACCTATAGAGGCTAGAGAGGGCATCAGATCCCCTTGAACGGGAGTTAAACAGTTGGTTTTGAGCGGCTAGGAATCAAATCCATGTTCTGAAGAATAGCAAGTACTTTACCTGCCGAGCCATCTTTCTATCGCCTTAAAATCTTGGTCTTTTTTTTTTCCTCTTCATATTTTTTATTTATTTATTTTTTAAATCAAATCATAATTTTTACTTATTCACACAGGAGTTATAAACACAAAAAGGCAGGACATGGGGAAGGGGATGATACTGGAGAGTGGGTGTTCAGGGGGAATACAGTTATCTTTCAGAACAGGTTATCGGCTGGGTGGAGGTTTAGGGGACAGGTCACTATGACTCTGCCTATGATTTACTTGTCCTTATCTAAGTTGGTAATATCTGCCAAGGCTACCTATTTTCAAGGTCTATGACTACTCAGGCTGTTAAATTTCCACAAAAGCTGCCTGTCTACAATAGCTTGTAGCCATCTGTTTCAATGTTTTTCCACAGAGACCCAAGACTTGGTATTAGTATACATGTATGACAGGCCTATTGCTGATTTTAGGCCTATGGCTGATTTTAGGCCTTCCGTGTATAAGCAGGGCTGCCTGCCCCTGACATCTCCTCCCTTTTCTAAGTATAGAAGGGCTGTAGCGATTCTAATCTTGCGAAGGCGGGGATAGAGGCCTGACCTCCAGTAATTGAAGGGGACCTTGTAATGGCTCCAGTCCCAAATCTTGGTCTTTAAAGTATAAATTATTTGATATTGGCCATTTTTTTTTGTAATTCATCTTAAATATATAGCAGCTTCAGGCTGGTGAGATGATTCAGCAATTAAGAGGAGTTGAGAGGGTGTGCGTGCATGTGTCTGTGTGTCTGTCTGTGTCTGTATCAGTCTCTGTATATTAAAAATAGGTATATTGGGACACTATAAAGATGAGACAGAATTGACTGTTATTGCGATTCAGGTGACATCAGAATACCCTCTGATAGTTCCAAGTACTAATATTTTATAAAAATTATTGATTTGATCCTGGTTATATTAATTACCAAATGTGATGTAGATTATCTATGTTGATATAGGTTTCTATGTTGAGACAGGTTTTATTTGAACTGTTTTTAGCATTCATATTAAAGAGCCTTTAGAATAAAACACTTTAAATAAAGATATTTAGGAGTGATGCATTTCAGAATAATAAAAATATTTAAGAGGTGACCATTAGAATTACTTTGTTCATTTAGAAGTCAAAACCACTGGAATTTTAAATGTCTGTGAAACAAGATTTCTTTATGAATGAGGAATAATGGGATATTGTAGCTGGCTAAAAAGGTTGAGAATCATTAAGTTCATGACTCTTACCTGAGCTGTACTAGATAAAGTACTTTGTGTGTCTGAGTGGAGGACAAATAACAGTGGGATGATTGGAGAGGAAGTTGTGAGTTTGTGTGTACTCTGAGTCTGGGGCATTAAAAAATTGCACAGTGGACCAGCCTTTATTTGAAAGACTACCAAGCTGTCAGTTAGTGTCTTCAAGTAAGACACCTACAAGTGTTTTAGTTAAGATAGAAATGCTTTGTTAAACTTTTTAAGATTGAGCAAAGGTGTCTTAAAGTAGATTCAATATTGAGTTAAAAACATGTGGTAATGCTAATCACTTTTTTGTAACCATTTATTTCTCTGATAAATATATCTTCTCCCTTGATTTGGTTGCTACATTTTTTTTCTCCTTCCAGTTAAAAAGTGTCTTATGTTAGCTTTCTCTAATGTCCACTCCTTGATTCATTGTTTCTGATTAAATTGGGTGATTATATTCATCACCATGGATTCCTTTTATTGTATCCTTTCCTCATAGCCTTAGCATTTGTCTTGATTTATTGTCTTTGCCTATTGTAAAATTCTGTGAGTCATTTTAGGTTCCATCTTTAACTTAAGATCTGATTTCACTTAGACCCTGTGTTTGAACAAACATTACCCCATTGTACTGTTCTCCATGCTTAGCAAAGTGCTAAGGTAATAATTATTTAGATTTAATAAGTTCATCATTTAGATAGTCTTCACTGTGCTTATTTTGCTGTAGTAGACAATACCAATGTTGACAAACTTTTTAAAATGCTCTCTTGTATCCAGCATTACAGAAGTAAACCATAAGGTTCTGTTTCTTGAGATAGTGTTACAGTGGTTGATAGGTTGCTGCTTTGGCTCTCATTCCAGTTTTTCTGCACACCAGTTGAAAGGTCTTGAACAAATACCTAGCCTTTCTGTGCCTCACTTTCTTAATAGACACAGTATTTGCTTCAAATCTGGCAATCAGCATTACACAATTATTTATTACTCTTTCACATTTTAAAATTGTTCAATATATATTTGGGTTAAAGTAAAACAGCTAGTTATGCTTGCTCGGGGTAGTAGAGTTTCTGGAAAGCAGCTTAGTGTATAATGAAAATTTTATAGCTATTTCTGTTGAATTGTTTCTATTTTAATCTGTAAATGATATTTTCAAATGTTATTTAATAACTCTATTAGTCGTTATTATAATCTGTCTAGTTTCCCAATAATCGAAGCAGAATCCTGTGGATTTTTAAATCAGCTTTAGCACAATTACTGGGCGAATTACCCCTAATCTACTTTTCTGTATACTAGGCTGGTTAATTCCCAGCTGAGTTCCCCAAATACATGCTGTTTGAATTTCGTCCAGGTTATTTCTGCTCCACCAGTCTGTCTTGGAGGGTGGGGAGGCATTTCTCTCAGCCAAGTGCTCCTGGTCCATTAAGTCTAATGGAGTTCTGTCTACTTTCTCTTTACTTCTCTCTCCTTCCTCTTTCTTACCTCCTGGCCCCTACTGGGACTCTTTAAGCCTGGTCGCTGAAAACCTGCCTATCTGCATTCACCCTAGTAATTGGCTTTAGCCACTTTTATTTAAATAATAGTTTTAAATTGGGGAACAAGATTTATACAACAGAGGCTGGTGTACATGAGAATCTACAGCCAGACTTTGGCATTCAGAATTTAGCATTTCTATATACAGGACCAGACCAATCCCCAACTTTACTCATCTCTTAATAAAATCTAAAATAACCTTAAATTCAAGGAAAATGATAATAATTGAGACATTTGTATGTCCTAGGCTTATGATAGTTGTTAACATCTTAAGTCTCTGGTAAGAAAGAAATGTTTCAATATATAATTGAATATTACTCTATAATTGAAATGCTTACATTTTATTGACTTGAAAATGGCTGTGACGCAATGGGAACATTACGAAAAGCAAAATACTTAAATGTTTTTAAAAATCATGGTGTGTAACTATTACAGGTGTGTAATTCAGTGTTGCTCTGGAGTTGATTTTAACCACGGTCAGACTAATGAAGAGGGGTAGAAAGTGTGCCTCTTTTTTTTAAGTCAGCTAAATGAGATGTGAAAACTTTTTGGATATCTTTTATTTTTAAGTCACTTTATTAGCATTGTTCATTATTTATATTTTAATATAAAATCAGTCTGCTGTAATAAACAACATAATGTTCCCATAAAAAGTATTATCTATAATTGAATGTCAACATTTGAATTTACTTCTTTGATTTTCTTCTCTTTCAGTCCCCTTTTTTGCCCTTAGTGGTCAGTTTAGTAGGCCTTTTTTTTTTCTTTTTTCTTTTTTAAACCAAATGTAAGATTAATTTTTTTCATGATGTTGACAATGTGGTTTAGATTAGAATTTTTTCTTTTCTCCCTTTCTTTAATCTACAGCAATTGGAACAGATCCAGAAGGAACTAAGTGTTTTGGAAGAGGATATTAAAAGAGTGGAAGTAAGAAATCAAGAAATTCTCACATTTCTCATAGTTTTACTTTATTTTTAATTAATAGTTCAACTGTGTGGGGAAACAAAGTCTGAATACTTTTTTGAAGATAAACTAATCTAAATTTATATTGACATTTATTGCAGTAACTCTTTGATTAAGTGGAACAAAGTTTGACGTAATTTTCTTTTTGAAGTTCAATTAATTTAAATTACTACTAATTCATTATTTCCTTAAAATGATTCATCATTCCATCTTCTATTAAATTTATTTTTACATTTCTACTGCATGTATTAATGTATACTAGTGTTAATTAAAAATTATATAAATTCATTGGCACTGTTGTTGGAACACTGTTGTTGTTTTATTCATAATAAAATACAGATTACTTACAGAAATTCATTGGGAGATTCATAGGCTATTGTGAGCTGAGGTCACTACATCTGGCTAAATTTAAATTTACTATACTCTTTTAATTATTCACACATGTGATTTTCTTTTGCTGACATATAAGTCATTTCAAAGGATAATGGACGGTATAGTATTTAATGGGAATTCAGTATCCCTTATAATATTACTAATTTATTATATTTATATTTCCTGTTTAGCTATTTTTGAACTGAGGCAGAAATAATTTTATCTGATTATGTGTCTATAGTTGCATTTTCAAATTTGCTATTTTTGCACTAATGAGAACATTATACATAAAAACGCCAGTCATGAGATTCAGAGACATAATTTATATGATGATCTTTGATTAGCTCTTTTAGATTAATGAACAAAAATTAGAATTTATTTCATTGTTAAAGTCAGTATTTTATTCAAGAATATTTCTTTTTTTTATTACTTGTAGATTATCTTAGAGAGTGACAGACATATTCCCTGTTTTGTCATTTAATTTGGAGATTTGACTGTTGTAATCCAGTCACCATCTCATCTTATTGATCCTAATGTCCACTAATAGATCATCACTTGCATGAATAGTCGGTTCACTGTGTAAAAAATCCACTGTGTGTCCTCTTTGATATACGTCGTTTTGGCTTTTTCTTCATTTGGTGCTTTCTTTAGTTAGAACAGTATTTCTTAGGAATAACACTAGGCAAGGCTTCCTTTTTCATTTCAGATTAACTTTATTTTTGTACTCTATGGAAAGGAATCTTTGAGAAGTTTGTGTTTGAAGACAAAAAGACTGATTAAAAAGCTGTGGCTAGAACAGAATATAATGCCATATGCCTGTTTGATTTATACATCTTCTGTTTGGAGTATATACAGTAACTCAAATAATTAACAATTTCAGGAAATGAGTGGCTTGTACTCTCCCGTCAGTGAAGATAGCACAGTGCCTCAATTTGAAGCTCCTTCTCCATCACACAGGTACAGAGCTTTACATCAGTAATTGTTTGGGATTTCGTATTAAGTATTCATGATACTGTAGTTTTCAGGAACCTTGTTTTTTATTTTAAAAAAATTTATTGGATATTTTATTTACATTTCAGATGTAATAACCTTTCCCCATCTTCCCCCCACCAAAGAACCCCCTATCACATCCCCCCTTCTCCTGCTCCTATGAGGATATGCCCCCACCACCCTTCCACTCTCACCTCCCCACCCATGATTTCCCCCGTACTGGGGCATCCAGCCTTCACTGGACCAAGGACTTCCTCACCCACCTATGCCTGACAATGTCATCCTCCCTTATGTATACAGCTTTGTGCTCCCAGGCTGGTGTTTTAGACCCAGAGCAACAGTTGGTTGGTACTCTTGAACTCCCCATGGGGCCACAAACCCCTTCAGCTCCTTCAGTCTTCTCTCTCACTCTTCAGGAGCCTTGTTAATGAAGACTGTTACACCACTGAGAAATAGGGTGCAGAGAGCCAGTCTTTTTATTTTCTTGATCTTTGGATTAAGTTAGTGGGTAGATGCTGCAGTGTTTTAAATTTACACATGGATTAAAAGTTTGGTTAATTTTTTTTTTTTGGTTAATTTTTTTGATGTCTTTTAAATTCATGGTAAATCTTAAATCAAAATGTGGAAACATAAAATGGTAATATTAAGAAAACTAAGATAAAAAGGTTGGTCCTGGCACATGTCTTTAAAGTCTCAACACTCAGGAGGCAGATGTAGGAAAATCTCTGTAAGTTTGAGACCAGTCTGTCTACATAGCAAGTTCCAGGCTAGATAGGGAAACAAAGACCCTGTTTTGAAATGATAATGAATGAAATAAAAATTTAAATCTTTTTTATTCCAACTCACTGTAATTTTGGTGGCTGGTTACTTTCCCTGTCTTTAAAAATGACAACGTTAGGAAAACATTTTAGTTTAAGTCTTCCTAGTATTCTTTTCTTTGATCTTCTCTTTTCTTCTCTTTTTTTTCTTTTTTTTTTTTTTAAAATGATTCTTTATCTGTCCTTGGCTGGCCTTGAACTTAGAATCTTTATGCTACAGCTCAACTTGCTTCCCAAGTGGTAGAGTACTAGTATTACAAGGTGTACCTCTCTAGCTGGTATAGCCTTTTTTTTGTTGATGTGTAGAGGAGGCTAAGGACTTAAATTGCCCAGATTAGTTTCAGACTCACAGTCCTTTCATCTCAGCATCCAAAGTAGCTGAGATTTTGTACATAGACTACCGTGCCTGTCCTTGTATTCTTCCCAGCTTGGGAGATGGAAGCTTGAGGATTAGGAGTTCAGAATCACCCTTGGTTACACAGCTACTTCAAGGCCAACCTAAGTCACATGAGACCTTATTTCCAAAATTAATTAAACTTCATCCTATTACAGCAGGCATTGCGTTATATATAGAATAATTGTATATCCCTTACCTCAACTATCTACCTAGATTTTAGAAATAGCTTCATTTGACTATTTATAGAATACAAGATACCATTAGCTGTAAAATTTATTTTATGAAATAATTGCTATTGAAATTTTGGACTTTGGCATTTTATGCTTAAGGTGTTCACATAAGAGCAACAGCCAGCTTAGCTAGTAATTCACCTGTTTCTTAATTTTTTAAAAACACTCCTAAAGACGAGATCTGTTATCTTTAAGCCTGTCATTCAGTTTCTGATGTTTGGTGTCCTTGACAACAGGGCTGGTTTCTTGTTCTCTGGGTTTTTTTTTTTTATTTTACTTTATTTTTTATGTTTTTTTATTTTATATTTTTGTGACTGAATACAGGGAAATAGTTCAGTATCACAAACATTTCAATAATAAACTGGTAGTGCATTCCCAATTTCATGTCACTCAGTTTAACAGAAAGCATTGTTTAACTATTATAATATTAGTCTATTAGATTTTATGAATCTTGAAAATTATGTTTGTTTGTTAAATGCCTCTCATTAGAGATGAGGCAGTTTTTTGTGTGTGCTGAATCTTGATGATAAAGCTTGTGCCTTTATGGAGAGATCCCAGTTGTCTAACAGCCAGAGGATCCGCATAACATAAATCTGGAGCCTTCAGAAGAACAGATTAGCAGGCTAGATGTTTATAAGAGTATCCTGTTTTAGGTAGTTGAGCTTTTCTAAAGAGATAACTAGTGGACTGAAGCTGTAACATGCTGGAAAGCCATTGGGTATGATTTGAATTTTTAAAATGTTTTCAATTTCCATGTAGAAGAGAGAGAAGAAGACACATGTCATTCCTGACTTCATACCTTTGGAAGCAGGGAAAAAAGTTAGAAAATTTACGAGAGAAGTTTAAGAGCTTGGGTTATGATTTTGTTGGTCACAAGGGTGAAAGTAGTTATTAGCATAAACTAGGTACAGAGACAGGCAGGAAGATCAATGGAATAGAATTGAAGACCCAGAAATGAACCCACACTCCTATGGTCACTTGATCTTTGACAAAGGAGCTAAAACTGTCCAGTGGAAAAAGGACAGCATTTTCAACAAATGGTGCTGGTTCAACTGGAGGACAACATGTAGAAGAATGAAAATTGATCCATTCTTATCCCCTTGTACAAAGCTCAAGTCTAAATGGATAAAGGACCTCCACATAAAACCAGATACACTGAAACTAATAGAAGAGAAGGTGGGGAAGACCCTCGAATACTTGGGCACAGGGGAAATGTTTCTGAACAGAACTCCAATGGCATATGCTCTAAGATCAAGAATTGACAAATGGGACTTCATAAAATTGCAAAGTTTCTGTAAGGCAAAGGACACTGTCAATAGGACAAAACGACAACCAACAAATTGGGAAAAGATCTTTACCAATCCTTCATCTGATAGAGGGCTAATATCCAATATATACAAAGAACTCAAGAAATTAGACTCCAGGCAACCAAATTACCCTATTAAAAAATGGGGTATAGAGCTTAACAAAGAATTTTCAATGGAAGAAACTCGAATGGCTGAGAAGCACCTAAAGAAATGTTCAGCATCCTTAGTCGTCAGGGAAATGCAAATCAAAACAACCCTGAGATTCCATCTCACACCAGTCAGAATGGCTAAGATTAAGAACTCAGGTGATAGTAGATGCTGGCGAGGGTGTGGAGAAAGAGGAACACTCCTCCATTGTTGATGGGACTGCAAGCTAGTACAACCACTCTGGAAATCAGTCTGGTGGTTCCTCAGAAAATTGGACATAGCATTACCTGAGGATCCAGCTATACCACTCCTAGGCATATACCCAGAAGATGCTCGAACATATAACAAGGACATATGCTCAACTATGTTCATAGCAGCCTTGTTTATAATAGCCAGGAGCTGGAAAGAACCCAGATGTCCTTCAACTGAGGAATGGATTCAAAAAATGTGGTATATTTACACAATGGAGTATTATTACTCAGCTATTAAAAACAATGAATTCGAGAGGTTCCTAGGTAAATGGATGGACCTAGAAATTATCATCCTGAGTGAGGTAAGCCAATCACAAAAGAACACACATGGTATTCACTCACTGATTATTGGATATTAGCCCAGAACCTTGAAATGCCCAAGATGCAACTCACAGGCCACATGAAGCCCATAAAGAAGGAAGACCAAGTGGGGGTGATTCGGTCCTTCTTAGAAGGAGCAACAAAATACTCAAGGGAGCAAACATGGAGACAAAGTGAGGGACAGAAACTGAAGGAGGGGCCATCTGAAGACCACTCCACCTGAGTATCTATCCCATATGCAGTCACCAAAGGTAGAGGCTGGAAGTCAGGAAGTGCATGCTGATAAGAGCCTGATATGGATATCTCCTCAGAAGTCTTCAAGAGTCTGACACCCTTGCAACTTCTCCTGCTAAAAGAAAAAAAAACATTTCATTGTGGAAGCTTTAGTGTGTCCCACAGTATACATCATTGTCCACACATCTTTACTTGCAAATGTTCATTGCAATGAGTCATTGATTTGGTTTGTAACCCCTGGCTTATGCCACACTTTGAATTCTGCATCCTTGCTAGCACTCCTCTTGGAGATCCCTCAGCTTTCACGCACTCCAGTAGTTCTTAGATGGGTAGATGATGGCATGGGCCAAAGTCCTGGATCTGGTCTCGGTAATAGCTGAGTTGGTCAGCCTGCCAGCTTCCTGCACCAGCACCCACACCACCAGTGTTATTGCAGCTGGCCAGAGGCAGGGCCAGCTCTGCTGCTCTCATGCCCTCAGGTCCAGCTCACCAGTGCTTTCCCACTCTGGTCTGCTCTACTGTGCTACCTTGATGAGGTACAGGAACCACTCTCAAGTGCTACAGCTGTCAAAGGGCAAGGCCAGCTTTCCTCTTGTGATGGAGGTGGGAGGTTGGGGACAGGTGGAGGGTAGGGCAGCATCTCTCTTGCACTCTTGTGAGAGCTACAGTCTTACTTAGTCAGAGAAAGAAACAGAGGCAGACTGAGCCTGGTTTGTGCTTTTTCACACGTCAAAGCCCACTCGCAGTGACACACTTTGTTTAATAAGGCTATGCCTCCTAATAATATGTATTATTTCTTCTAATCCTATCAAAGACTTTTACTATCTGGTGACTTAGTATTCAACTATATGATCCTATTTGAGCCATTTTTACTCAAACCAACACAGGATCAAAAATGTCATGAAGAAATCCTGTCTCTACCCAGCCTTTAAAATGAGAGTGATGCTGGGGGCCAGGGACAATTAAGAGAAGATCCCCCAAAGTTTAAAATATGATCCAGAATACGCTGTTACCCCCTATTAACAAAGTAGAACAATATAGGTACATTCCCAAAAATACTACAGAGAAAACTCAGCATCTGCCTATGATTTTTTTTTTGCACTAACATAAGCAGATGTTGAAGTTGCCTGTACTGTATGTGATTGCTACAGCCATAGTGAGAACTATAAAGTGTCTATAAGAAAGGAATAACACTCGCTTTTTTAGGCATATTAATGTCATACTCTCATACAAAGGGAAAGAACATATCAGGGACATTTTGTCTTTTCTCAAGTTTCCTATACTTAATCTGTAAATTCCTGTGACAATCTACTAGGCACTTAAAGACCAGAAAGTAAACTCTTCCTTCCATTTTATGCCATGCATTATATAAAATTTGGTTTGCCACCTGTACTAAAAATGTCAGTTAGCAGTGCTAAAGTACTGTTTTATTCTAAAAGTAAAATGTCATAGGAAGATGAATGCTCATTTCTCACTGCCACTAACCCACTCGACTTCTCTGTGTTTACTGACTTTAGAGGTGGCCAAAATGTACTAGGAGTGTAAAGGAAACTGGATTTTTCAAATAAAACCCCAGTATAATAGGAAAGATACATTTTATAAATGACAAATACACTTTACTATCACAAAATCAAATATATTCAAGTAATTTAGCTTCTAGGTACTTTTACCAAGGTTTCAATAAAAGTTATGTGACTTTCAAAATTAGTATCATAACAGGATACTTAAATCTATCCACATGTACAAATATAAATGTACATGTATAAATTTTTTTCAAAGTTAAGCACAGTGGGCCTAAATGAGATACTAAAAATCAGAAAGCACCATCTTTTCTGAATTCTACCTAGCGACATGTAAATTGTCAGCATGACATCAGGAGATACACTATCCTATTTGGAACTAACACTGTTTAAAAAATTTTTTAAGTTTTGGTATTTTAATATATTAAATCTTTTGTTGCTCAGCCATAATTTTCTGTAAGTATAAAATTTTTTGATGCTTAGCCTAAAAGAGTTTTTAAAAACATAATTTTGTAAATGTGGTAAAATTTTAAACATTTTTATGATAATAATTAGGTAGACTAAGATCTTAACAATGTAGTACATTCCTTAAACATCCAATTAAGAATGTATTTTAGTTAATACCTTGACAATACCAGAATGTACTGGTATGTGTTGAACTATTGAAGTTTCAAATTATTTTATAGTTTATTGTGTCCTTTAAGTGTTTTAAAGCTCAAGTTTCTAGGCTCTAGGGCGCTACAAAAGTCTCTTCAGAAGAAACAAACTGGTGGTTGTGAACTGAAAATGGAATTACGTATCTATATTATCATCAGAGCAGATCATGATCGCTTCTTGCCATTTCGTATTAGAGTCATAGAAGTGAAGGTTTTGATTCTGGTAAATTAGGAATGGAAGTGTCTAGGAAAACAAAACCACACACAGTAAAACTGGTTCATGAAAGAAAATTTCTCTTGCTGTTTCCATCTCTGTTTCTTCAGGTTTGTCTCTTACTCAAGCACCATCATTTTCTTTATTCTCATCATCACCCTAGTGCTGAGTCTTTGCTTATTGTTTGAGAATGCTTTTTCTAATGACTTATAATTGATTTTTATAACCTTAAAAGTTTATAGCAAGTATATCATCTAACAAGATTATCTTTCGTGAATCAAAAATAAATAGTAATCTCCAGCTCTTTGGAAGGGTGCTGTAGATATAAAGTAGCCAAGAACACCACCATTTGTGAGGAACTGAAACACTGACTAGTTCTGTATTGGAGGCTGGTGGTCAGCCATATGTGTTTGAATGTATCCTTTACTTTTCTTGTTTCTTTTGATGTATCCCCTTCTGTTTGTTTCTTTGAATGTATTCTTTTCTGTTTTTGGAATTCTACCAAGCAAAATGGTTTACTTTAAAAGGAAGTAAAGTGATACACTAATACCTGTTCAATCTGTCAGAAAAATTTCAGCTTGTGGCTTATTGTATCTATCAGACTTGAGTTTCTCCTGAAGGAAACTACTCTAAAAACCTTTTTCAGCTTCAGGATTATTGTAGAGATCATTTAAAAGAGAGTATAAATACTAGGTTCCCTGCTCAGCATATGTATTCTAGAACTAAGCACTTCCTCATCCTGTGCAAGTTAGAACAGGAAGGTGCTAAATAATTTTTTATAATATTTTAAATATAATTTGTGTTAAAATCAGATCTGCCCTATCAGGGCAGAAGACTTTATCCTCAGAAGTTGGAACTATCAATGTTAGAGCCATATATTTGGCAGTGTTTAACTTACCCAGGTTATTTTATTTAATCCATTTTATAGATTACAAAAGAAAATTTTCCAGCATCCCAGTTAGTGCACAACCGATATCCTAATCCGGGTATCCTTGCTTTGAAGACTGTAAAGAGAGTTGTGCAAATCCCCTCAAGAGCTGAGCTGAAACCATTTAGAAGTAGAAACTTTGTATTCAAAATGACCAGGCAGTGGTTCTTCCAAAGACACATCATTTTGGCAATTTTTTTTTGTAGCGATTTTAGAATTGTGGTAGAGATTTCATATTTCGTCTCTGTGCAACTCATTTTACACGTAGGGTAATAATATTAAGTCGACTGCTGAGCTGTGGTATCCCATTTGAAGCCAAGAGTGTAATGCGTGACACATAGGATGTAGATTTTAGTTGTTGCTGCTGCTGCAGTTGACATTAAAGTCACATTATTTTAGGTACTTTGTTTGCTACTTGTATTACATTTTAATGTCCAAAAGAAAATAAATGAACAAGAAAATAGTTGCTGTATCTTTTGAGGTATGTGCAAGTTACAGTCATGAGAATTTTGTTGTTAATAAATGAAATTTCCTATTTGAAATTTTAGCTACTTATTATTGTAAAAATTTATATGAGAAATGGTCTTGTCTGTGCCTCTTGAAACAGGTTATGTTGAAAGCTGTATGATTTCTAGTTACTGTATAACTGATTTTATTTGTGTTTGTTTCCCCCACATATACTTTGATGCATGGGATTTAAGTCAGTTTCTCACATGTTCTGCGTTGTTTTTATTTATATTTTTATCTGATTTCTCATTCTTATCAGCAGAAACATTAGGAATCACTGTCTTACTTTCCTCAGTTCAGTTCTACATAATTTTTCTTTTAGTTACCACTCTGAAAATTTCTTTCTCCTGTGCCATTTTGATGCCCTTACTAATTTTTTAACTCTTACAGGTATTGGTACCTATGTAAAATACTTGATAACTCTGTATCATTTTAGGTGGCTATTTTTTCATTTTTGTCCCTAAAATTCATCCATGAAATGGGCAGACTAATAAAGGATTTCTCTCATACTTCATTTATGAAAAATAAAGTACTTAGGAATATGGCACATTGTCTAGACTTTTTTTTTTTTTAATAAGTGATGATGTCAGAATGTAGGTACCTCTTGTTTGTGGAGGGATGTGGGATTGTGCTTATGTGTGTTATATGTGCACAGCACCAGATACTTTGCACACTGACTCATCTCCTTAGCCACACACCTATGTAATTTTACTAATACTGTACAAATGGTAGGAATAGTTTCATTAGTAAAGGAAACATTTTAATGCAGACTTTCACTTATTTCTCAGCTGTTAGTATTGTATGAAGAAACTGAAAATATCATGTGACCCCCCCTCCGCTCCCTATATAAGGCTACTGAGTGCCATAGAGTCTGTTAACTATAGCCCATCGAGTGCATGCTGTTTACCCCAATATTGTAAATCCTCTTTTCCTTAAAGGTTGAAATCTTACTAACCTATTTGGAAACGAAAATAAATCGATGTGCTCACTGACTTCATGATTCTTCCCATTTGATAGCCTTTCTCGATGTGTATGTTTGAGGAGCTGCAAGGAGTAAATGTTTATGGTCCTTTGATGTTTGAGTAAATGATTGGTATTAGATGTTTACTTATAAGTATGTTTGGTTTATAAGTGATACATTTTAGATCAACTGTTACTAAAGTAATTTAAGTACTGAAATTGTATTCTTCATTTTGCAGTAGCATTATTGATTCTACAGAATACAGTCAACCTCCAGGTTTCAGCGGGACTTCTCAGGTAAGGGATACACTTAACAGTATGTATTAGCTGTGAGTATAATCATCTACATTATAAAATAATAGGCTAGTTTACTAAAATATTCTTTGATAATGACATAACCCTCTTTAGTAGGACTTGTTTCTTATACATGACAGAATTACTATTTGCTTTTCAATGGCAGGAATTTGTTAAAAGTGTTTTTACCTTGGTGACTGATATCAGACTTTAAGAGTGAGAAAATATTGTCAGGCATTGTTTGTCTCAGAGATACGAAAGTTATAATTATTGATTAATTACACATCATTATGTTAAAGCATTAATCATTTCTTATAGTTTCATGGACTAGAGACTTAAGTAAAATAAACACTAGCCTCACTTCTTCCAGTTAATTATATGATTCTCTTTTACTCTTTCCAGCTTTGACTGGAGGATTGATGATACTTACCTTATTCTTTGAGTTCCGCTATGTACTAAAAAGAAACAAAAAACAAACAAACAAACAAAACAAATAGTAAAAACAAACAAGTAAGCAAAAAAGTTCCCCAAACCAAAACTATTTACAATCAAATACTTTCAGATTCAAGGGAAAGTAGTAAGATTGCTCCAAAGAATTCCTTTATCTAATTCAAATATTCATTACATTCTTAGTCATTTCCCCTTTTACCTATATATACTAATTTGCCTTTTCTCCTAGGTGTTTAAGGTATAGACATATATTTTTTACCCATTATTATTCAGTCTATATTTCTTTAAAAATAAATATGCTATTTTTTTGTAATCATAATATAATTTTAAAATTCAGGAAGCAAACATTGATAGTATGCTGTTTAAGCTTAGCATATGTAGAGAAAAAATATTAAATGAAGTATTTTTAATGGTCATTTTTTTAATATATTTACTTTATATTAATATATTAAAAATCTGGGCAGTGGTGGTGCACACCTTTAATCCCAGCACTTGGGAGGCAGAGGTAGGTGGATTTCTGAGTTCGAGGCCAGCCTGATCCACAGAGTGAGTTTCAGGACAGCCAGAGATACACAGAGAAACCATGTCTCAAAACAGTTATCTTTAGTTAATGCAGAGCTCTTGAAACATTGAGCTTTTGTGATTTATACTCTTGAGTTCTTAGATGATTATCTATTTTGTAGTTTTGAAATTACTTGGTATATCTGATATATGAATTTGCATACTTGTATTTGCCTGTTTTGTTAAACCTTTTGTTGTTGTAGTTGCTGTGTTTTTGTACTGCTGGACCTTGAATTCAGGACTGTGTGCCTGGTAGGCAGGTGTTCTACTAAACTTGTCTAACACTTTAACCTTTAAAAAACAAGTAGTATAGTAGTAACACTTTTGTTACCAAAATTTACAGAATGTCTTTTATCTTTCTATAGATAGTAAACCATGATTTGAATATTTTTTGCAATATTTAATAGGATATGTTAGGAAAAAATTTAAAGCCTCAAAGTCTATAATAACTTGAGCAAGAAAGACCAATCCTGATCTGGAAATTAGCTAGTATAGTATTTTATAGCATGGCTTTGATGCTTTCCTTTGAAGATAATATAGAATAACATTCAGACAAGGCCAGTCCATGGCTTTGATAAAGTCAGATAAACAAAATACATTATTCAGTAATTTTTTAAACACATAAGAAACCATGGTTGCTTTGCAGACCGTACAAAATAACAAGCACATTATATCCTAAGTAATATGAATGACTGCTGCTTTGCATACCATCTAAAGTAGTATGAGTAGCTGCTACCTTTTCTACAGCTTTATTTTAATTCACTGCAGACTTCTTTGTTCCCTTTCTAGCTTGTTTGCTTGCTTTGAGGTGCTAGAGATTGAGTCCAGGGCATCTTGCATGCTAACTCAAGCAAGCAGTTTACCACTTAGCTATTATATTATACTCCAGCTCTACTTCTGATATAGGTAAAATTTATTATAAGAGAATTTATTCCACATAACAATTATATTCTGATTCAGAGTAAAACTCAATATTCTTGCTCCTATATATTTTATGTGAGCCTTACTCTTATAGATTGTTTTTGACACTCTTACTAAGCTAAATTTTCCTTTTGGCAATGTAATTATACATATCTTTTTCTGTGGTTAGAGGTTTGTGGAAAGTTTATATAGAAGAAAAGGAGAAGCTTTTCATTAAACTATTTATGTAGTATTGTTTTGGATTTTCTGTTAAATTCCCAAAAGAGAGAAGATTAAAACAAAGTCTGGTGGAAGAAGAAAATGAATAAAAGTAGCTGTTCTCTATTTCTGATGATTGCCATTTTTAAATCTGTATGATGGTATAAAAGGTACAAAAACAGTCAGTTGAGCCATACTTCGAATTGTGAGCTGTGACCTTTTTCTAGGCTAGCCATCTGTGTTGTACAATAGTCTCCTGTGATGTTGGGCAACAACAGCAGACTATAGTTCCCTTTCAGGCAGTCAGTTAGTAGCAGGTACTCTAGTGGATTGTTTTGCCAAATTATGCTGCTTATTAGGTGAAAAGTATTAAATACATTTTTTATTTACAGTATTTTGAGTTTATAATTTATTAGGATGCAACCCCTTTTATAAGTTGAGAATTTTATGATGTTTTTTCATTTTATGTATCATTTACTGGTGAATAGTCAAAGAGACTTCTGGTTCCCTGAGGCATTGCATTAGTATCATCCAAGCGCTCAGCCAGAAAAAAGTCCTATTGCTTTTTAGTTTTCTTTTCTGTTACTACGAAAATTTAAAAACAAAAAAAAGTATGACTAAAAGCAACTGTGAAGAGGATCTAAACCACCAGCCTGGGAGCACATAGGGATGGGCCCATGGCTCCAGCTGCATATGTAGGGGAGGATGACATTGCCTGGCGTAGGTGGGCAAGGAAGTCCTTGGTCCAGTGAAGGCTGGATGCCCCAGTATGGGGGAAATAGTGGGTGGGGAGGTGGGAGTGGAAGGGTAGTGGGGGCATATCCTCATAGAAGCAGGAGGAGGGAGGATGGGATAAGGGGTTCCTGGGTGGGAGGAAAATGGGGAAAGGGGATTACATCTGAAATGTAAATAAAATATCCAATAAAAAGAAAACAAAAGCAACTGTGAGGAAAACAGGGTTTATTTTAGCTTACAGTTCCCGGGGATAAAGTTAATTATGGTGGAGATAGCTTGTCAGAAAGCATTGAGATCATCTTTCATCTGTCCTGAGGAAGTGGACCCAATCTATAAAACACAATACCAGTGACATCCATGTTCCAGCAAAGCCACAGCTTCTAATTATTGCAAACCTTCTCAAACCTTCACCAACTGGGGACCCAAGTGTTCAGATATATGAAGATACATGGGATATTTCTCATCCAAATCACACATGCCACCTCTTCCTGTAGTCTTTAACGGTCTCAAGACTGTTCAAAAGTCTGAAATCTCTTCTTTGACTATAGAGTCAGTCTATTCAAGTCTGACCCCTCACAAAATTGAGACAAGAACCAAAGCCCTCATAATATACTTCTTATATGCAGTGGCATAGAATATACATTCCCATTGCATTGGGGAATAGTGAGACCTAGTGAGGAAAGAGTGGAACAAATCAGGACTAAACCCAGCAGATCAAACACCAAAGCTGAAAGCTCCATGTCAGTATCTGGAGCTTTGGTTTCAAAATTCTACAGCTTTGCTGCCTTCAGTACTGTTTCTACAAATGATTAACAAGAAAATGTGAAAAGAACTGACTGACTTCTGAGTTGCTGTGTGTCTAGAAAATGCAGGCCCAAAACTTGTGCATTTCCTAGCAGACTCCATCTTTCATGCCTGTTAGAAGACAGGGCAGATATTGAGGAGTAAATCCTATTAGAGATTTATAACAGTGTATGAGACAAAATTAAAATTGATACAAAAGGGTGGTTTAGTCTGGTTTTATAAGTGTAAGGGCATTGAATTTCTTTGGTGTACTTGTTATTTTTCATTAAAAGGATATCCATTTCATTTATTTTGTCTTTGGGAAGATTAGCAAAATGAATTGATTCTAAAACAGAATTTATCATGCCATCTGCACTCCATGATTAGAATGTTAGCTAGAACATACTCTTGTAATTTGCAACAGGAAATAAATTTCTGTGAATACTCTGAATCATAAAGTGGTTCGATATAAAAATACCCAAAAAAGTACAAAAGGATACATGCTATTATAAGCACTTTATATAAAATAGTATGAAAGAGAGACTGAGCTAGAAATTCATAGCAGTCAATGTTTTTATTTATAGATTTAAAAAATTAAGCATTTGCATAAGGAGTCTACAGTATTATATAAGTACATAAAGATAGTTTTTCATGGAAGGGCCCATGTATGACAAATTGATGTTATCACAATTCAGGATAAATTACGTTAGCAGAGATGAACATTAATAAAAATAGCAGTCTTAAATGTAAATTTTAAAAATGAATATAATATTGAAATAACTAAAGTAATTGTAGAACAATTTGGATAGATTAATGGCCTTAATTATTAATTTATCTGGTTCCTACTAAAACATCCCCATAGTAATTTTTTAAGTGTACGGATATGTTATCAATTGAGTTTAAAATTTTTTGATAAAATGGATGTTTCAGAGGTTAATATGAAGAGCGTACTCACCTACTCAATATAAAAACATCCTGGCACCAAAGGAGCAAAATAACAATGAACAGTCTCATGAAAATATCATTGATAACCTGCACTAAAGGAGTTTTTAAAGTTGTCCAAAGAAAGATCAAGTATATGTTGTGGTAACGAGGAAACTTTGATAGAAACGTGTCTGGTATTTACTGCTTGCTAAAAGAGTCTAGATCAAATACATAATTGTTTAAATAGAAATGATAAAATAGCTGAACATACAATAAAGGACCAGAAACAAAATCTTAACTTATGTTGTGAAACATCTTGAGTATGGTGTATAAAAATCTTATTTGCTGTAAGATGTTAGGAAAGAAAAGAGACAACTGTGATACTGATAACTTTTTAAATGCAAACTCCAGATAGGATTAAAAAATTGCTA